GATAGAGAATGAGGTGGCAAAGACTCTTTAAAGATTTTAAGCATTGGTGATTGGTTGTATTGCTAAGAGAAAGACAGAAATCTAGCTCTGTAGGAACTGATTTGAAGAAATTAAATTGCTGGTCAAAAGAAGATGATGAATGGAGTTTAGATATGATGATTTTTAAGTACTGGTGGGACAGCTAGATGGAAATGAGCAGCAAGGAATTAGAAATGTGGGAATAAGACTTGGTGATTGGGGCTACAAATAAATATTTGGGAGCCATTTTTATAGATATGAAAGTTGAAGGTGAGGGAGTGGATAATATTGCTAAGGGAAATCATATATAAAGCAAAGACTAGAATGACAAGGAGAGAATTTAGTATAGAATGCCCACGTTTAAGATATAAGAAGACTTTAAGCTTTCCATATTTAAATAGAGATAAGTGGTCTGGTTCTAGGGACAGTACTGAATGACTAAAAAGAGAAAACTAGGTCTATGCATTTGTAGTCAGGGCCATCATAGGCCTATATTCCTCATGAGGATATAGGCCTACCTATCTGTCTTTGCTTCATTTTTGTAATGTACTTAGAAGTAGTATACCACTTAGTCAGATACTCACTAAGTAGAATTAACCTCTGATGTTCAAATCCCTGAGAGTTAGATTCTTACCAAGGTCAAATTTCCATCAAAGGGGCTTAATAAGTCTTGCATAGATGCCTCCACACAATTCAGGTATTTGTGGGGAGAAGTACAGGTGCACTGAAAGAAACTAAGATCAACAGTTCTATAGTGATATCACTGGTGTTTCCTAGAATGTGTAGGGAAGGACTAGATAAATTAAATAGTGATGAATGAATTAATTATGATGATATCAAAGACTCTCTGACATTGCCATTTTTAGCTACTGTCAAATGTCCCATAAGTAGAACATACTCTGTTCCAGGTCTTGATCATTAATAATAACACAATTCAATTACAGAACTATTCTAGGAGCAACCATACCTTATCTTATGTTTGTTTTATTACCCCAAGTCTGACAAAATCTTTGCTAAACTTGTAATACAATTATGTAATTGAAATTACTGAAATTTCAAGGTAGTATTTCTTTGGAGAAAAAGATTCTGTTTCCCTGTGTTTAGGCATGAATCATTTAATTAGGTATTTGTACTTTTTTAAAAATTTAAGGTGTTCCTCTTTATATCCTAAACACGGTGTGAATTTTATTCACAATTATTTAAATAGACTACTTTATACAATTGGCTTCACATAAGAAATGCCAATCATATTTATCTAGACTGACAATGTCACAAAAATATAGTTTGTGGGAGGAATGTTGACTTTACAAAATTAGAGATAGTCCATTCATTTCTATATTCACTTAATAGCTCCTCGTGGTACACTCATCCAAAGTTTATCTCATTTCTTCTCAAACTGGTACTTTCAATCTGTTATAACTCTTAGGGGTAATGGGTTAATAACTTCATTATTTGTAGCATATAAAATATTTATTTCCTTATACTTGTTCTAAACTACCTCAAGGGTCAAGGGTTGGGAGAGGGGAGATATAGGGAGAGACTCTAGTTCCGCTATTTCAAGATTTTGGGAAAGGGCTTCTTCTTCCTAACTATGCTCTTCAGGATTTTATGGATGTTAATTATATCACTTCTCTATTTTCATCTTTCTAGTCTGAAGATTTCTGATTGCTTTATTCTTATGCTACCATGAATCCAGTAGGGAAAGATAAAAAGAAACCCTGGAGTTAGGGGACCGAGAAGGGGGAAATCATGAGGAGGCTAAATAACCCTTTTCATTTCTGCCCAGTTCCTAATGTTTGCTGATGATCTGTCAACTATAGATGAATATAAATAAATCTGGATTAGTTCACTAAATTCTGGGATAATAGAACCAGAGGCCTCCCCTTGAAGCCAAGAAGATATGAACTAAAAATACTATTTCATTACTTCCAAAGATACTTACTCTAGGCTAAAATTATACATGTGTTTGATTAAATCTAAATCCATAATATGTTATTAAGAGAACTTCCATCACCTTCACTAAAAGTCTCCTCTGATACGTTATCTTGGTGTAGAGATGAACTTAGGTTCTTAAAGGTTATATAAATGAGGTATAGTTCTGGCAGGTCCTACCAAGCTGAAAAGGATTTGAGTATAGGTCTGGTGAGAGAATGTAGGTATGTTATCTGAGGACCAAATGAGACTCAGCAATAGTTTTGTTACAAAATGATAGATTTTTCAATAACACCCAGCCACAAAGACCAGATAGTAAAATATTTAAGATTTGCAATCTAAGCAACCCACACCATTGAAATCACAAATACTTGATATATCTATAACTTCTAATGTCTAAGCTACCAGGAAGATCTACAAACCATCATTTAGTGCCACTTTAAGGATATGGATTGAGTCTGACTCAATATGACATTTGTGATAAGATGCAGGGTGGCATTTAGTGAGAGAAAAAAAATAAGATGACTTAGATGGATCTGTGATGTCATCATTATGGGTACATATTCCAATGATACAGAATCATGAAAATTCAAGAACTGGAAGGGAACTCAGAGACCATATAATCCAACAAGATTCAAACGAAAATCTTATCTGCAGTACACCTGACAAATAGCCATTGGTTGAAGACCTTAAGGGTCAAGGAATCTACACTCTCTTAAGGAAGTTTATTCCATGTTTGGATGGCTCTAATTAGTAGTATACTATTTCTTATGTGGTCTGTGGCCCAGAGTTCCCAAGGACATAGGGCTCATGTGGTACCAGGTCTGATCTTGGGAGCTGATTCCTAAAGGGAATCATCTTATTTCTTTGGTTCATGAACCCCAAAATTTTACTCTGGTGAAATATCTAAAATAAAGCTCAGGTGGCAGTGTGGTACAGTGGAAAGAGTGCTGGTTTTAGAGCCAGAGAACCTGGTTTTGGATCATAGCTCTTCCACTTACTACTTTTGTGGCCTTAGGCAAGTCATTTAATATCCTTAGGTCTTAACTCTGCATTTATAAAATGAGGGTATTGGACCAGATGGTCTTTAAAGCCCTTTGCATCTTTGAATCTTTGATCCTATGAACCTAGGTATGGCTCATGTCTCACAGGTTTCTCAATAACAGGATTCCCAACTCTGTCCTTGGTTGTTGTCCTTCATTCTTGAAGAGAATCAAAATGACATCACTATATTGGGGTCAAGGTACAGTGTGTCTGACTGTGGCTGATCAGACCCATACAAACTTGGAAGCCTCTACCACAGGTTGTACACAAATAATAGAATGAAGATATCTCTAAATTTGGAGTGGAGCTATCTTTAAATTTGTGTATCTCACATTTCTTTTAAGCTACTGAAATTCTGCTTTGCTCATGGAGTACTGCACTTTCTTTGTTGTGGGCATTCCATGCTGGGTGGTCCTGTGCCAATGTGTCCCATGTCTCCCAACCAATTCTAAAATTCTTCAGAGAACCTTGAAAGTGTCCTTGTATTGCTTCTTCTGACCTCCATATGAGTACTTGCCTTGTGGGAGTTCTCTGTAAATAGTCTTGTTAGGCCAATGTACTTTTGGCATTTGAACAACGTCTGTGCCTACTCTGGCATTAAAGTGATCCAGAATATTAAGCCTGTCTTTTTTTGGCACATTGATGATGAGGGTCTCCAGGTCTTCATAAAATTTTTCTTTGACCTCATCAGTGTTCGTCATGGTAGGAGCATATACACTGTTGATGGTGGCATTGCACTTTCTTGCAAGTGGCAATCACATTGTCATGAGCCTATTATTTACTTTTTTTGGTAGGCATACAAGCTTGTTTCATGGAACTAATTCTCCTTGTATCATTTATCCTTGGATGACTGATAGTGAGGGCAAATGGTTAATAAAGGATTCTGAGAACTGATACAAGTAAAAAAGCAAAGAAGTAAATCTAAATGATCCAAACTCCATTCCTTAGAAGGAGATTTATTGTTCGACATGGTATTCAACACCATGGCTGGTGTTGAAGTGCTCCAAACTCATCTAGCATATGTGGAGAATATAAATAACAAAAAAGTTTTATAACTTGTGTTCACTGACTTCATCTTTGGAAGAAGATAGTAAAAACATAAACCGTATCTTAGAAGTGATTGGTCATTTAACCAGGTATGCACAAGAATACACAAGCAGGAACCAGAAAGCTTTCACAATTATTAAAGTGTTGTGAAAGAAATATTTCTTTGAAAAACGGGTTCCCCTGCTTGAATATTCATTCTGACCACAGGAAAAACTTTGTGATCAAATTACTCAGTGAAATGTTGGTTTTGTAATTTATCAAAAAGTCTAGAACTCTATGTTACTGTCTCCAAGGATAAAAAAAATTGAGGTGAATTAACACATGACATTTCTAGTACATGCATATGATTAGGAATGATGCCACAAGCTTTAAACTATACTGGTTGATGTTTGACAAACTCCTATGCCTATTTATTGACATGCTTTGGAGGCTGAGAAGATTGAAAGGATATAGATAAATTGAAAGAAGTTTATAAACTAGCCATGACTACAGCTCAGAAAAGCTCTGAAAGAAATGTTATTCCTGCACTTAGCATTTCTGATCCTTAAGTTTAAGAAGGTGTATATGTTGGAAGGCTCTTTGCATGAGAGAAGGAAGCTTAATTTAGATATTGTTTATGACTTAGAAACCTAGAATTACAGGGGACCTTAAGCCATTCTGCCAACCAACATATAAATCCCTTCTTAAACACTTCAAGTGATGGGAAATTTTCTATCATTACTACCAACTTCTCAGAAGAATACGGGTGGCATTGGTGGAATCAATTACTCTAAAGACTTCTGAGAAGGTGGTACCCTCATCCAGAAGTCATACATGGCTTGCAAATGGTAATGGTCATTTGTGCCCCTTTCATCTTGCTCAAAACTCTGCTCTTGACTTTGTTAGTGACATAACTGACATCCAACATAACCACTACAGCAGCCCTTTGCTCAGAGTAGATGAATTTTCTGATCTCTCACCTGTTATTATCAACATAACGGATTAACATAGGGTAGAATGCATAGAGATCCCTGCAGAGGACAGCAAACTCATCCAGAATGAGGAGTTCAGCTTCTTGGGTATCACCTTTGCTGTCTGCTTTAAGCTGCTCCTCTTCCAATACAATCTTCACTGCCTTCTTCTTTAGTTTTTCCAGAGTTGGGATGAAGTGACTTTTAAGCAGGTCAGCTCTGGCTTTGCTTATGATAGGCTGGGCATACACTGCATTTGGAAACACAAAGCTTGCCTCAATATATTATAACTGCATTTACATTGAATGTAATAACCACAGAATAATATTCTTTCTTTCAGCCTTTTGTAGTCCTGTATCATGTGTTAGTATATAGTGGGCCAGTATATGAGAAATATTCTACTGTTATATCTCTGGCACTTTAGGCCTCAATGGTTTTTCTCTGCTTTGAATTACTATATTTACTATATGAATAAATGAATACTTACACATAAATTAATACTTACATACTGTAGGGAGCTGTTGGCTAATGATTTATCTATGTTGTTACATCTTTTTAATTATCCTGTAAGTTTCTTGAGGGCAGGGAACCTCATATTAAACTTCTATATCCCTCATTTTCTAGTTGTTTGCTACAAAAGTTATCCTTAAAAAACACACATCTCTGGGAACTTGAGAGATGGGTGCAGAGTGAGGGGAGGAGGTTGTTGAAGAGATATTTGGGAGATGGGAGATAAACTAGAATGGGAGAAATGACTGCAACGGAGAGGGAGGTCAGGATAGTGTAGCAGAAAATGATTGCATTGTGAGTGCTTAAGGCATAGTATCAAAAATCAGGATTGACCTAATTTTTTTTTTTTTAGGTTACTTCAAAGATAATCAACTCAATACTCCCTGCCCATCTCTGTAATGGCAGATATCTCATTGATTCAAATTCGCAATAAATATTGGAATTAGAGTAGAGAAAAAAACAAACCAACAATCCAGGGCTTCAACAACTGATTCTTCACTTTCAAGTCTTGACTTTGGAGTATACTTAGATTCAGACCATTTAAAAAGAAGCATATTTTATCACACTAGCATAATTCTCTCTTTTTACCATTTCTGTCATTCATCCAAAAGTCATTCTCAGAAAAGGAAGGTTAAAGGAATTGGTTAATGAAATTTGTCAAAGGGTGAACCTCTTCCAAGGGATGTGACTGACCCAGATTTTAAATGCTTCTTATCATAGGAAGAAACCAGATCAATTTTGGGTTTATGATCAGAACAATTATACCTAACATGAGTGATTTTATGACATAATTTTAATGGACCTTATTTACTTACTTGGTCCTAAATCACTAAAATTGTCTATACCTTCGGTGATATTCATATCTATGCCCTTGATGTTACATTACCTGACCTTTGTATACTTGCACTGATTTTTTTTTAGAAGGAAAAATGACTAGTTCTATTCAGATGCAACTGCTTTTACAACAGCACTTTATCCAACTGCCTCAGAGTAAATATCACTTTAGTTTGAGTAGGTAAAAAAGAAGTGTTCATTTCATTAACCATAGCTCTATAGTGCCTAGTACAATATCTTATACATAGTGTAAGCCCCTAAATATTTTTTTGTCTGTTCCTCTTTTTTTTAAATTTTTATAGCCACAAACTCAGATCATAAGATGTGTTTTCTGGAATTTACATAAGAAAGAAGTATAAATTTGGAAATAATATACATGGGTAAGGTTATCATAACTAAATAAAAGGCACTCCTTCCCAGTAGTTTCTTATATATAAGCATACATAAACAGGACTCCTTTCCACTAAAATTTCCAGCCAGTCTAATTAATCAGTCAATATTTACTGAATGTCTCCTATGTGCCAGGCTCTGTGCTAAATGCTGGGGATACAAAAAGAGGCAAAAGACAGTCCTTGCCTCCCCCTAAGTCTTCTATTATTCAGCCTACATAGTTTTAGATTTTTAAATTAGTTGTCATATGACACAATATATGGACCCCTTCCAACTTCACCCTATCTTCCCCTGGAAAAGTTATATTCCATCAATGTCCTTTTTAAAATATGGTACCTAGAAATGAGCACAACATTCCAAATGTTGCCCAGTCAGAAAAGAGCAAAATACAACTCTTACTTCCTCTGTTTTAGATTTTACACTTGTATTAATATAGACCAAGACTGCAGTAGGGTTTTTTTTTTTTTTAAAAGCAACTAGGTCACACTCCTATTAAACTTGGAGTCAACTAAAATTCTTTTTTGATATTAACTACTATTAAATGAGGTCTACCCTATTCTAAGATTATACAGATTTCTTTACCTAAGTGCAGGAAATTGCATTTGTAAATACCAAATTAATCCAATTAGTTGAGGCTATTATTAATCCTGTCAAAGATTTGGAAATCAAATTCTGTTATCTAACATGCTAGCTATCTTTACCAGATTTGTGCTATCTGTGCTACCAGATATGCCATCTCTGTCTTCAAGTCACTACAAAAAATGTGGAACAGGAAAAGCCCAAGGACAGAGACTAGTTATCAGGCCACTAAAAAGACGTGACTCTAATTTGACAAATATGCTTTTTGGGTCCAGTTATTCAATTATCTAGCTACAACTGCACCTAACTATATTGAGCTAATGTTTATCAACTGTGATAAAATGTTTATCAAAGAAATAAAATGAAATACTTTTAAATATCGTTATAAAATCTAAAAAGACTATGCTTACAGTGTTTCAGTAATCTTTCACATTTGACATTCCATTCTTGGTGAACTTATGGTGGCTCTTAGAGAACAATGATTCTCTATTTACTATTTAATACATATATAAGGAAGGTCTAGGGATGAAAAGAAGTTTTCTCTACAATATTCAGGGTGTTAGAAAAAGAGTGAGAAACAGATCCCAAACCCCAGGTTGTCTAAAACATCTAGTGCCTTAGGTACCTGCAATGCGCTTCATCCAGGAGGCTTCATCGATGCCTAGGTTGTTGTTGATGATTTTCAGGATATTTCCAAGAATGATGCTGAGATGTTCAGAGGTAACTAGGGTACAGCACGGTTCTGCACTGGGGGGTAGATTCTCAGGCCCTCGTTCCCACCAGTAAGATAGGTAATTACAGAGCATGGGTAAGATCACTTCAATGACATGGGGCATCTCTGTATATCTGGCTCCTGACTCAGCCAGATCATTGATTTCCTTCATCAGTCCCTCCAGCTGTGGAATGTCTGGGCACATCTCTTCTACTGTATCAGGCATCCCTAGAACTGACCAAGAAAGTATGGGGGAATAAAGGAACAGGATTTAGGAAAGATGATTGGTTAGAAATATCTTTCCCACTACCTGAACACTCCTTGTCTTATTAAACATCAATGCCTCCAAAGAGCAGTATGGTAGAAAAAACACTACATCTGGAGTCAGAAGACCTGTACAAGTCCTAATTCTGCCACTTACTAGTTGTGTGACTTCAGGTAAATCTTAACCTCTCTGAGCTTGGTTTCACAAATGTAAAAATGAGGGTGTGAATAGAACTTGAATGATAAGTTCACAAAAGCCATTTCTATTTCTAGGATGCTTCGTGTAGTTTCTGCCTTACCATTCCCTTTATTAACATTACAGCTTTAAATCCAAATGAAAATTAAAAGTAAAAAATTACAGAAATCTGGCTTATGGTCCTTTAGGCATATCTTCTTATATTTCATTTTAGAATTAAATAGATTAAATGTATTATTTAAAGAGCTAAAAATCTGAGGATGAGGAAGAAATATTACACTACAGTCATCATTCATATTAACCTGGATTCTTGTTTTTCTTATTTTTCCATCTTATCACTCCTTAGCACCCTCACTTCAAGGAAGATAGGAGAAAAATGAAGGGAAAAAATTTAAGTCAACATGTCTGTTGTCATGGATCTGGTATCAAAAACCACTGAGAGATTTCTGTACTGACCATAAGGGATTTGATTTTTATGATCCTTAGTTTCCATGTGAGTGAATGTGTGAGTGTGCGTGTGTGTGAGCGTGTTTAGGTGGAAAAGAGGAGAAAGAATTGGGCTATATAGGTTCTAAAGTCCCTTCTACTTTTAAATACTATGAACCTATTTCTCCATCAGTGTTACTGACACCCTTTTGTCTGTCAGTTTTGCTTTGTACTATAAATGGTAGTATTTTTAATACTATTGAATTTTAGAAATAATTTAGAGTTCTTATTTCAAAGTACACAGCATAGGAAAATCAATAAATGAAACGAATATATAAGCAAACTAAGAGTTTGTATATTTCACTATTATCTATGGGTAGGGCTAACCTATGTTAAGATTTTCCTTCAATAATCCACTATCTGAAGAAATATTATTTAAGAAAGAAAGATTTCCATTTTTTCCTAAGTACTGAACAAGGGGAAATGGAAAGTAGATGACATTTCATTTAGACACAGGATCAAGGATAATTGTCAGATATTAGGATAAGAGATTGAGGGAGGCAGTGGAATCTCTTTTCCTGGAAATCTTTTAAGGGTAGATCCACATTAGACTATGATAGATTAGGGTTGGTCTTGATGAAACACAAGGCTAAGAACCAGAGAGATTTTGAAATCCCTTTCAGCCAGAGAATGCTATTATCCTTCCTTAAGAAGCCAAGTAATCAAAGACAGGAGATATCAAAAGACATTCTGAGAGAAGATATGAGCTTGTAGATTTTGTCAACTATACAGGATTAGGTCCATTTTGTAGGCGCATGTATTTCTCTAAGTCACTCTAGGTAGGATATGTAAAGAAAAAAGAGCTTTATGTCCTGAGAACACTGTCAGGGAGATTGTTGATGGCTGTATTAGTACCCTCGGATGGCACTTAGGTGGATAAATTTAGCATTTTGACCAAGGAAAAAACAATGACTTAACTTCTCATATTTAATTTTGACTGCTTGAGGCAGTAAATGAGGGGCATTTATTCTAATGTTAATTCCAGGCTAATGTTCATCTGAGAAAAGACTGAAATGTTACCCATAATTGCCCAGATGGAACAATGGTCCATAAACCTGAAAAGTGTGAATAGATGTCACTCTATCAGGTACTCAATACCTTCAAGCTATGTGTAATGAAAAAGCTTTCAAAATATAGAGACCTAGTAGAAGAAATCACAATCATGTGGGAATAAGCTTAAGTATATATTTTCCCTGCCATCCAGTTTGCCCATAGGATAGTTGCTTGTTCCAGGGCCATTTCTATATGGATTCCAAACAAGACTGTAATAAGGAGATAATAATATGTAGTATTTCCTTCGGGCTACCCACTCAACTTAAATTGATAGACTGGGTCCCTGAGGAGATGACTAACCCAGGTTATATTCTCGATCACCTATAAATATACACTTCCATGTTCATGAGCTGTGAAATCCCGTTCAATCTGATGACAATTTGTTGTCATTTAGCCTCTCCCTCTGGCTTGCAATCTCAAACCCTGTTTTTGGTCTTTAATTCCTCATCCTCTCAGGTCTTGCCCAGACTCTCATTCTCCTCCTTTCCTTATTTTGAGTCCTTGGTGAACCAGTTAAATTTTATGTTGTCCTCTTTTCTCAAGTCCTTTGTTCCCTTAGTCTATTGCCAATTTTGCCTTGCCAACTCCCAGCCTCTGATTATTCCCAACATCTGTTGCCTTTGCCCCTATTCACCTTTTGTTGAACAAAGCTGGGGAAAACCATCAAACTGTGCTGATTGGGTCCATTACAAATGTATGTTAAATAATCTTAATTTGGCCCTCACTGTGGCAAAACAATCCTTTTAATACCTCCCTAACTAGCTCATTGTCTTACTTACCATAGTAGCTTTTCAAAGCCTTTTCATCCCTCTACAAAATTCCCATGGCTCTTCCTCCCTCCACCCTCTCAGTTGACAAACCTGTCTTATATTTCAATGAATTTTTTTTCTGTTGTTAGCTCATTTTTCCAGTCTATTTCTTGACTTTCAACTGTTTGTTAACGTGGGGTGATGCTCCCAGGGTGGAGGGTGCACTGCCCCAAGCTTCAGGTTTTTTTTGTGCAGCTGTTTTCAGAGCTAGTTCTGGGGATCTGTAAGCTTTCAGTTCTTCCAAGGTGGTATGATCTAAAGAGAGGTGAACTTATTACTCTCCTGGCCTGTCGTCTGGTCTGAGTGACCACAAGAACTCTTTTTCACCCTGAAACTGTGACTAGGGTCCCTACTTCTCTGAAGCCTCAAGCTATGATGTGCTTTTACTCTTCCTCTTTCTGGAACTGTGATCTAGGATTGAGACTCTGATCTGTGTGTGGGTAATGCAAAAGAGTCCTGCACCCAGTGACAGTAAAGGGATCCCTATTGTCTGACCAGTTGTCTGACCCCCTTACCATCTGTAGGCTGAGAGCTCTGGAAACAGTTACTGCTGTCGCTGATTCAGTTGCCCCCAAGAGCTGCTGCTGGTTTCCTGCAGCATGGTCTTTATTGGCACAGCCTGTACTGGACTGAGCTCCACTCTCACCCCTGTGTGACAGACCTTTCCTGCTGACTTTCTAAGTTGTCTTGGGCTAGAAAATTGTTTTATCCCACACTCTTGTGGGTTCTGCCACTCCCGAATTTGTTTGTTATTTGAAGTTATTTGGAGAGGAATTTGGGGAGTTCAGGCAAGTCTCTACCTTTTCTCCACCATCTTGGCTCTGACTCCCTTTATAGTCCAAAAGGCCTTTTCTTAATTCTCCTCCTTCACCTCTGCAGTTTTTTACCCCATCCATCTTGTTATTCTCTTGGATACTTCCGTAGGTTTCTTTTTTTGGGGGGGGGGCGATTGGGTTAAGTGACTTACCCAGGGTCACACAGCTAGTAAGTGTCAAGTGTTTGGTCTGAGGCTGGATTTGAACTCAGGTCCTCCTGACTTCAGGGCTGGTGCTCTATCCACTACGCCACCTAGCTGCCCCTGTAGGTTTCTTTCATCCTATTCTGTTATGGTTCACCTCCTACCTAGCTGAGCACTCTTCAGACTCCTTTTTCGGATCTCCATTGAGGTCACACCCATTAAGGGTGAGTGTCTTCCAGAGCTTTATCCTGGATCTTATTTCTATATACTATTGTTGATCTCAATAGCTCACTTGGATTCAATTATCATCTCCATACAGATGACTCTCAGATCTACTTGCCCAGATCTAACCTCTTGACTTGCATCTCTAGCTGTCTATTGGACTTCTCAAAGTGGATATCTCATGTCCCTTAAACTTAACATGTCCCAAACTGAAATGGCTAAACTAACCTCTCTTCCTAAGCTCCCTATTACCACCATCCTCGACCAGAATACTAGTCACTCAGGTTCACAACCATGTGTCATTCTTGACCCTTCACTCTCTCGCCTTTTTCCCTCCCCATATCCATTCTGTTGCCAAGTCTTGTCAATTTTACTTTAGTAACATCTCTCTTATACTTCCCTTTCTCTCCTCTGACACTGCTACTACCCTGGGGCAGGTCTTCATTACCTTATAACTCAACTGTTGCAATAGCCTGGTCGGTCTCCCTGTCTCAAATATTTTCTCATTCCAGTCTCTCCTATACCCAAATGTCAAAGTGATCTTCCAAAGGCACATATCTAATCATTTTATCTCTTTCCACACCCTCTGGTCCTCCTTGCTCTCCCTAATTCAATAAACTCTAATTGTTCCTTATTACATTTAGGATCAAATTTTTAAAATACTATGTTTAACTTTTAAAGGCCTAAATTATCTGGCCCCCTTCTCTCTTTTCAGTCTTCTTATATTTTACACCCTACTCTCCCAAATATTTTGCAATCTAGTGACTCTGGCTTCCTTGCTGTTTCTCACACAACATGATCTATCACCTATGCATTTTCACCAGCCTGGTGAAAATCCTCCTCATCTCTGTTTCTTGACTTCCCTGGCTTCCTCCAAGTTCCAACTAAAACCCCACCTATGAGAAGCCTTCCCCAGTCTCTCTTAATGCTAGTGTCTTACCTCTATTGATTATTTCCAATTTATCCTATGCAGATCTTGTCTGTAGATTTTTGCATGTTATGTTGTATTATACTGGGAGCACCTTGAGGGCAGGGAATGTCTTCTGCCTTTGTTTCTTAAGCACTTAACATAGTACCTGGCACATAGCAAGTGTTTAATAAATGCTTATGACTATTATCTGCCCATTACATCCTGTGAATTCTTCAAGTGCACTGGGAGACTCAATTGATCAGGAGCTCCCTCATGAAACTCCCTCCACAAGTAAATTATTTAGGTACAAGATCTGCTTAAGGTAGATGCACTAGAGCCATTAAAAAACTCATGCTTGATCCTTGAGTGGAAAAAACAATATGTTTGTGATTTTGAAGATATCTGTCACTTCAAATGCCACAAAATAAACCCACAGCATGAAGTCTGCTGACCTCTCTAACTGGAAAACAGCCTTGCCTGGATCCCATTTGAACCAAACCCAAAAAATCATTAGTAGGGAGTCTTTGGTGCATGCTGTCTTTTCATTTAGAGTTAGAATATTAGATTTTGATTCCTCTTGGGTATCTATTGCTATGGGGAGAAACATTCTCAAGGAAAATCACCTTTTTAATATATGTGGAAGATATGAATATGACTTGGATATTCTGCTGGTTGTATCACAAATGGCATATGTATGTGCATATATCAAGATATACTTGTATATCTTGTATACAGTAAATAATTTTCTAGCATGGTCAGGAAGTGGGGCTGTTTTGGTTAACCAACTGATCTGGTAAACAGAATTACCATGTATAGTGCACCGAAATGATAAATTCTCAAGTAAATCAGATTATGATATACACATGTCTAAAATTCTACTGAATATAATCTTTCTGTGATGATTCAGAAGGTTCTTTAGGATATTATAGTACTATAGTATCACCCTTATGAACATTAAAATTGGCACTATTATGACAGTATGAAATTGTCAATTATCAGAGATTTGCAGTGGAAAGTATAGATAAAACACTCTCTTAATGTATTTCTGATACATAGACTCAAGTAGGATGCTTCCTCCTCAGTCCTGAGACTGCTCCACTTATATGACACAAAGTTGTCACACATCTTTCCTAGCTTCATATAGGGGACAAAGAACTATCAGCAAGGTATACCAGTAACTATTTATAGACACACTATTTATATAGCACAGTGTTTTATATTTCATAAGTGTCCAATATACATCTGATTGTTTTAATGCTAGAAATGGTAAGTAACTTGTCTAGTACCACAGAGCATGCCACTAGTAGAGCAGAAGTTATATCATCTTCCTCTTCCCTTTACTTCCCCCTCATCTCCTGACCTCAAGTTCAATGATACCATGGTACAGTATAGCAAGAGCACGTGCTCTGAAATCAGAGGACCTGGGTTCAAATCTGGCTTCTGATGACAAATCATTTAACTCCCATGGCTTTTGTTTTTTTCATACATAAAATGAGGGAGCTGGATAAGAGGGCCTCAGGGGTTCTTTCCAGTTCCACATTTATGATAAGCCACAACTGAAAATCTTTTCCCTCTTGATAAATGTTTCCTTGTTGGATCAATGTAACAGAAGAATGAAAGTTTATTTCCTGAGTTGAAGAAGTGGGAAGGCAATATAAATGGGAAATGAGGGAATGTAGAAAGTACTCACCTTTCCCACATACCTGTAACTACTGTGAACAATGGTAAAAATTGAATCACTCAAAAAATTTCTCTTTCTGCCTACAAAGAGTCCTTCCAGGACACTGGGAACTGAGACAAACTAATTTCTTCGCCTCATTTGAAGCATAAGAAGCACACTACCATGCCTATGCTTCAGGTACTTATGAACTTGGGAGTAGCCATTTTACTTTCAATTTCTTGCCAGTGCCTTGACCATGTCCTCACATCACCTGATGCCTCATGAGCTGTGGCTTTCACATACTTGACTTGTGCTGCCCTGGTTTAGTTGCAGGGATGGGCAGGGAAAAATAGATCTGGAGATTTATTCATGCTGCTATCAGAAGAAGAAGGAAAAAGAAGTAATTCCCCTAAATTTAAGAGTTGGAACATATTTGTTAATGCCTCCTCTCCTATAATTAGTCACACTTTTCTCCTCTTCATTCTAACACAGGAATATAGCTTTTTACTGTATTGATTCTTTCTCCTGACTGACCTTTTTTATCTGGAATTATTAGAATAAAATACAAACAAATATTCTTCATAGCTTGAAGAAAAGTTTTCATGGGTTAACATTCTGGGACTTTTGTTTTTTGTTTTTTTGGGTGAGGGTAATTGGGGCTAAGTGACTTGCCCAGAGTCACACAGGTAGTGAGTGTTATGTGTCTGAGGCCAGGGACTTTTGCATAAAAGGACTAGTGGTAATACTAGGTACTACAATCATTTTCCACAGTGCCTGTTCATACACAACGCCTGGCTCAGGGCATCTTGCCTTTCTGCTCTTATTAATGACAGCAAATAGAACAAGATGAACTTAGCACAGCCTCCTCCTAACAAATTATTTTGTGAACTACATACTGAGAACATTTTGCACCATCAGACACTTCACCCCTTTAGCATCTCAGAGCATTTTGCATATCACAGGCTCATAAGAACTTAACATAATATTGTTTTAGAGAATATTTTAATATTATACAATGACTTTAGAAAACAAGTTTAATTTGGGCTTATAATGTTTTCATTATGTGATTCTTTTAAAAAAGGAAAAGAAACAATCCAAAACTTTGGTTAAGTTAATGGCTTAGTAAAAAGGAAAGGAACACTTGTTTCAGACCACCAAATTAGCATATTTTTTCAAGTTTTTACTTGAGAAGTTATTTACTCCATTACTCTGCCTTCAGGGTGGCCAATACTGTTTTGGGGTACAGAACATGTGATTTAATTGGTAGAGGAAACTCCCAAATCAGTAAACTTGATCAGAACATAACAGTTGCCTGGGGGCACCAAGATGGTGAATGATTCACCCAGGGTCACCCATCTAGCATGTGTCGGAAGTGGAACTTGAATTGAGGTCTTCCTTACTCCAAGGCCAGCAACTCTTCATCCATTGTGCCTAGCTGCCTCTCACACTTATATCACCCCAGAAATTAAAAAAAAAATTATTCCCTTGAAAAACAAGCAAACAAACAAAAAAAAAAAACCAAAACAACTTTCTAGGAGATTTCCTTTAAACTGTCTTAGTTGCTGAATCCAATGTCTCATAATCCTTACTTTTAGTAAATTCCCCTTCACGTATAATCATAATCCCACCTGCTTTATTTTTTAAAAAAAATCATTAGGGGCAGCTAGGAGGCGCAGTGGATAGAGCAACGGCCCTGGAGTCAGGAGAATCTGAGTTCAAATCCAAATTCAGACACATAACACTCACTAGCTGTATGACTTTGGGCAAGTCACTTAACCCCAAATGCCAACCCCCCCCAAAAAATTCATGGATATAAAGAACATCTAGTTACTATGTCCCCAAGATGGTCCTTTCATACCATATTACTGTATTTGAAGTGTTAATGTGTTGTGATTTGCAGGAAAAGGAGGCTTCAAAATATTCCTGTGTCCAAAGGAGGAATGGAAACAGAGGCCTAAAGGGTTGAAGTGGTAATAGAAACAGAATTTTAGAGTTGGAGGGAATCTTAGAGGTCATCTTCTAAGTCCATTTTTCATAGATAAGCAAAAACATAGGTTCACAGCAATTAAATGAAATGTCTAACCAAGGTCACACAACTAATCAATAGCAGAGAAAGTACTAGAACTGAAGTCTTCTGACATATCTCCATGTTTTTTTCCACTAGAACATGTGGTCCCTTAGATTTCCCAACCAGATGGAAACAAGAAGAAATGATAAAACAGCCCTTAGCCCTTATTCTCCAGGAAGCAGAATTCTATACCGTTCTTGCTTACAGCTGACAATTGTGCAGACTGACTGACCTCTATGATAGGACACTTACTAGACCTTTCCCTGGGGGTTTTGGTGTTGAAGACTGAGAGCGAGTTGTAGCAGTTGAGGGAGGGCTCCAAGAATGCCACTGGCATAGCAGCTGCCAGGGCAGCGAGACATTCTCCAAGTGCTGGACGTTGCCTAGAAACAAAAAAGTCAATTTAAAGTAAACTCATTTCTATGTGTTCCTGAATGGGGTATTTCTAGGCCCTGGACTTACCAAGACCAAAAATGTGCTACAACCCTCCCCTTCTTTTCAGACACATAGATTAATGATTTCATCCTTTCAGGAATTCCCACTGCCTAGTCCCATAACCTGGCACTTTCTCTCTTGCTGCCATGTCCCCCAGTTATGGGTAAGTGGTTTTGCACTCTCATCATATGTCTGAGTTAGTCCTGCTGGCATTGTAGTTGCAACTGATTCTACTTGTTTGCATAGAATGATGGTTAATTTATGTCTCCGCCATGGAGTGCTTTTGTTGGATTAAGGTTCTTTGTTAGTGGGGAAGAGGAAGAGAAGAAGCAGAGAAGGGACATGGCTTAGAATCAGGCAAATGATGGTAACAAGACTCAAACTACATGTGTGGCCCTGCAAGAGAAATTATATATTTCACAGAATAAGGAAGCAGCCTGATTGATTATAAGAGTTTCCTAGGCCTTTCAAATCTTTTTTTGTTTGTTTTTACAGAGCTTGAAAAGAAAGTGTGGGAGAAAAGAGGTATTAGACTGCCTACAAAATTGAAGGTCTACAGAGCCGCTGTGCTGATCTCATGGTTGTATCCCTGTGAAACCTGGACAATACACTAGTGCCATGCCAGGAAACTGAATTGCTTCCATTTTAATTACCATAGGAAGATTCTGATAATCACCTGGCAAGATGAAGTACTAGACAGAGGTCCTTTCTCAAGCTGAAATGTCAAGCATTCAAACTCTACTACAGAGAGTGCAACTCTTATGAGATGGCCAAATTGTTTAAGTGCTAAATGTTTGTTTGCCTAAAATACTATTTTACAGAGAACTCACACAAGGCAAGTGCTCATATGGAGGTCAGAAGAAGTGATACAAGAAATTCTCAAAGTCTCTCTGAAGAACTCTGGGATCAATTGTGAGAAGGGGAGACACTGGCACAGGACCACCTACCATGGCATGCCCACATCAAAAAAGGTACTGTGCTCTATGAGCAAAGTAAAATTGCAGTAGCTCAAAAGAAATGTGAGATGCACAAATTTAGAGACATCTCCTTCTCAAATGTTTATAGATCTATAAAGGGTATGAATTCCCAATTTGACTCAACATGTTCCACTCCTCTCGTAATTGTCCACTTCACACTTTAAACATAGCTCAACTGTTTAAGCAGAGTATGGGGCTGAAGAATTTTCCCTTCACCCCTGGTTTGGGAACAGTCACTGGGATCATATGGTTTTTCCCCAACAATTTCTTCGTGCCAAGGAAATAAGAGAATATTATTGAGAACACAAAATGCTCCCCTATTGGCTGGGCAGGACACTGTCAGGGGATGACATCTGCTGACCAATGATTAACACAAGAAAACAGGACCATCTGTTTCCCATTAATTGATAATATCATCTGAGTGATTCACTGGCATCAATTAGATAGATAGATCATATACTTCTCATGTGCTATGCATATGTTTTGAGTCCCCAGTCAAGGGACAATATCCTTTAAAATCAACCCATCACTTGAATTCTTTCTTAGCCCAAGATACAAAGACAGTGATATAAAAATGTAGAAAAACTAGATGTAAAATTAGGAAATGGGTGTGGTTTTCACTTACTGAACAGTACCAAGCAGTTTTTGTCTTCCTCTGTGACCAGTCAGTTTGGAAAGAAAGGTGTTATTATGTCCTTAAAGCATATGTATGACCTGCATCCTTGTGAACTGAGAGCTTCAATGAAGACAAACTGGAAAATGTAATGCCAAATACTTGCAATGCCTACTACTGGGGAGGCTGAAACTTGTGGATTGCTTGAGCTCAGGAGTTCCTAGCTATTATGGGGTAATAATAACTATTATTACACTATTGTTATACTAATTATTATATCAAGCACTCATCTAGTGCTCTAAAGTTTACAAAACATTTTAAAAATATCTCATTTTATCCTTAACCTGGGAGATAGGCGCTATTATTATCTCCATTTTACAGCTGAAAACACTGAGGCAGGTAGGGGTTAATTGTTTGCCTAGGAGTAAGCTGATTCGGTGTACTAAATTCAGCATTAATACGATGATCCATTAGGAGCAAAGGAATCTGGGTTACCTAAGTAGAGGCAAACTGACCCAGGTCAGAAATAGAGAAGGTCAAAGCTTCTAAGCCAATCAAAGTGGGACTAGACCAGGAATGTGCTATTGAATGCTTGACATCCAAGAACAGATCATTAAATTTTCAGTGTGAGCATTTATACCTAGAAAATAAGCAAATGCTTGATTTTTTGGTTTTGTTGATTGCCTAGACTTAAGAAAAAGCTACAGAAAATCCCAATAAAGCAGATTAAACTTAAAAGAGTGTCATGTGAGGTTTTGGGGCCAAATGGTGGAATAAGGCAGGAATTCACCTGAGCTCTGCCAAATTCCCCTCCAAACAACTTTAAAATAACACCTCAAAATAAATTCTATGGCAGAACCATAAAAAAAGGGCTGGGTTAAACAATTTTTTCAGCCCAAGGAAGGTCTTCAGGAAAGATCTGTCTTACTGAGGTAAGAATGAGACACAGTTCAGTTCAGGCAGCCCAGGCAAGCCAGCAACAGGAACTGCCCCAGCAAACCAGTGTAGGCTCTGAGGGCAACTGAATCAGCAGAAGTGATTTTCAGTTCACAGATGGTAAGGGGACTGGACAACTGTCATAAAGGGATTACAGGGGACACTTTGCTGGCACTGGGTATAGGACTCTGTTGCACTGCCCAAACAGGGATCTGGGTCACAGTCTCAGGCTGAGAAGTACCAGCACACTAGAATGTGTGGCTGAAAGGGAGAGGGGATCGTGGTCACAGGTCCAGCGCCAAAAAGAGTCCTTCTGATCACTCATAGAAGAGAGCACAGTTCAGGAGAGTAGAGACCATACTTCTTAGATCATACCACCGTGGAAGAACTGAAAGCATACAGACTCCTCTCCCCCCAGAATTAGCTCTGAAAATATCAACACGAAAAACTTGAAGCTTGGGATAGTACCCCCTCTGTCACAGGAGCAGAGAGCCCAACTTTAACATTAAATTAAAACTCAAGAAATAAGTTAATAAAATGAGCAAACCCTTCCCCCCAAAAACAAACAAACAAGAACCTGATCATAGGAAGTTACTATGGAGACAGGGAAGATCAAAATACAAACTCAGAAGAGGATAACAATGTCAAAATGGCTACATGTGAAGACTCAAAGAAAAATAAGTAATAGTGTCAGGCCCAAAAAAGAACTCCTGGAAGAGCTCAGAAATTCTTTTTTTACAATAATTAAATAACAGAGGTAAAAAAAAAAATTGGGAAAATAAATGAAAGTGATGCAAGAGAATCATGAAAAAAGAATCAATAGCTTGGTAAAGTAATCACAAAAAATGGAAAAAGACATATAAAAATTCACTGAAGAAAAAAAACTCCTTAAAAAGAGAAAGTGGCCAAATGGAAAAGGAGGGACAAAAACTCAATGAAGAAAATAATTCTTTAAAGATTAGCAGTGGGAAAGTGGAAGCTAATAACTACATGAGACATCAAGATACAATAAAAAAATCAAAATAATGAAAAAAAAAGAATAAAATTTGGAATATCTCATTGGAAAAACAACTGACCTGGAAAACAGATCCAGGAGAAATAATTTAATAATTATTGGACTACCTGAAAGTCATGATCGACAAAAGAGCCAAGACATCATGTTTCAAGAAATTATCAAGAAAAACTGCCCTGATATCCTAGGTCCAAGAGGGTAAATAGGAATTGAAAGAATCTACCAATCACCTTCTGAAAGAGATTCCAAACTGAAAACTCCAGGGAATTCTTGACCTCCCTGGCAAAGAAGAAAATACTGCAAGCAGCCAGAAAGAAACAATTCAAACAGTGTAGAGCCACAGTCAATATTTCATAGAATTTAGCAGCTTTTACATTAAAGGATCTGAGGGCTTGGCATATAATATTCTGGAAGACAAAGGAGCCAGGATTACAACCAAAAATCACCTACCCAGAAAAAGTGAGTATTATCCTTGAGGGAAAAATGGATATTTAATGAAATAGAGAAATTTTAAACATTCCTGATGAAAAGACCAGAGCTGAGTAGTAAATCTGATTTTCAAATATAAGACTCAAGAGGAGCATAAAAAGGCAAACAGGAAAGATGAAACATAAGGGGAGCCTGATATAAGGGATAGCAGATTGGGGGAAGTGATAGAAGTGAAATACTTGTGAGGAGAGAGAGGGTAAAAGGAGAGAGAGAGAGAGAAGGATAAATAGGGGAAAATATGATGAAGGGAAGTACAAGTTAGTAATCATAACTGTGAATGTGAATGGGATGAATTTACCCATAAAAGAAAAGCAGAGAACAGAATGGATTAAAAACCAGAATCCTACAATATGTTGTTTACAAGAAACACACTTGAAGCAGAGAGACACACACAGAGTAAAAGTAAGGGGCTGGAGCAGAATCTATTATCAGCTGAAGTAAAAAAAGCAGGAGTCTTAATCAGAATGTCTTAGACAAAGCAAAAACAAAAATAGATCTAATTAAAAGAGATAAGGAAGCAAACTACATCTTGCTAAAAGGAACCACAGACAATGAAGTAACATCAATATTAAACACACACATACACACACATGTGTAAATGGTATAGCATCTAAAATTTTAAAGTAGAAGTTACATGAGTTACACGAGGAAATAGACAATATAACTATATAGGGGTGAAGAACCTCAACTCTCCCTTCTCAGAATTAGATAAATCTAACCAAAAAATAAACAAGAAAGAAGTTAAAGAGGTGAACAGAATTTTAGAAAAATTAAACATGATAGACCTCTGGAGACAAATGAATGGAATAGAAAGGAATATGCCTTTATTTCTCAGAGGTACATGACTCCTACACAAAAATTGACCATGTATTGGAGCATAAAAACCTCACAACCAAATGCAGAAGACCAGAAATATTAAAT